TCTTATTTTCCCTTTTTTTTTTTTTTCTTTTTAAAAGAATGTAAAACTATACAAACAAAAGCCCTACAAGACTGAAACTTTTGAGAAAACTTGAGACTGAAAAACTGGGTGAACAAAAAAGAAAACAAAAGAAGAAAAAGCTGAAAAAGTGTAGGCTAATCTAACTTTGTCCATTCAATGACGATTATTTTCAATTTTGGTACATTCCTTTACTTATTTCGTTGTGTTAAAATATTTTTCATGCTGCATTAATATTTAATGCCTTCTGAGATTTGTTTTTTGCTTTATCGTTAGTAAATAGCCTCACATAATGATCTTATGAGTAATGATGATTTGTCATCTGTTTATATTGTCCTCAGCAAGGTCAGAAAAGCTACCCATTACGTCCAGAACTAATAGAAAGCACGTATTGGTTGTACAAAGCTACACGAAACCCCAGGTCTGTATATCTCATATTATGTTTTGTTAAATGACACTCATGTGAAGGACCAACTTCACTGAAATTGCCCACAAAATTTTTCGGAACTAATAGCAAAGATTATAAAAGATTCAAAATATTAGTTTCTCCTCAATAAAAGATGTGGCTTTTTGAACATCTTTAGCCCGTTAAAGCTATGTTTGGTAACCAAATAAGCTAGCTAGCTTTTAGCTAACCAAACTTTTAGCTTATTTGGTTAGCTTATAAGCTTTTTGTATTCAAATAAGCTTTATTTGGTATGACAAGCTTTTTAAAAAGCTCGAGCTTATCTCGTAAGCTTTTTGGGTAGCATTTCAAATAAGCTCGTTGAATTTTTTATTTCAGCTAATTTATCAACTAATTTTACCACACTTCTATCATATAAGCTAGCGTTTCAGCTATAAGTCATAAGCTATAAGCTATAAGCTCAAAAATTATTTATAAGCTATAAGCTAGCTTATCAGCTATCAACTAGTTTTACCAAACATTGCCTAACATGATTAATTGTATTGCAATTTGAATCTCTGTTGTAGATATCTTGATGTCGGACGAGAAATGCTTGCCAGTTTACAGTTGGCTCGATGCACATGTGGATATTGTCATATATCAGATGTTGAGTTTCACCAGCATGAAGATCACATGGAAAGCTTCTTCTTAGCTGAGACTGTAAGTAATAGTTATTGGCTTAGTATGAAAACTTTCCTGTGTGGGGTGTCATGCCTAATAAATTTTGAGCTAATCCACTTTATGTTGATTATTTTCAGGTTAAATACCTTTGGTTGCTATTTGATTTGGCTGCTGGTCCAGATAACCTTGTTGAGACTGGCCCATACAAGTAAGTGGCTTGTACTATGAGTTTGGTGTGGTCCAAATTATGCATTACTTCATTAAATTAAATTATGTTACTTGAAAGTCATGGTACAGTTTTTGTTACATGCTGACCTCTGTAGGACCTAAAATGATATCATGAAAATTGGGATTAAATTAAGTTACAGATGCTATTCATGGGATTTCGCCTTTCTTTTCCCTTTTTCGGACAATATCACAGTTAATTTTCAAAATTACAAATGCCCTTTAGGTTTGTGTTTACTTAACAAAATTCTCCAATTAACTGTCTGAGTTGCAAAATGGATTTTACTTAACTGAATTCCCCAATTAAGTGTCTGAGTTGTAAAATGGAAGCAAGTGTCGAGGAGTTATTTGTAATTTCAAAAGATAACTCCATTTTTCCATGTAAACGGCATGTGTATTTTCTTGTTATTACTCGAGTAGTACCTTGACCCCAGTTATACTTATCGCCTATCGGTAAGATTTTTGTTTGTCGGCCTTTCGTGTGTAGTGCTACTAATGAACTGACTCAAATTAGGCTGGCTTGTTTACCAATTATCTCCNAAAAAAATTAATAATAAATAATCAAATTCAATCTCAACTAAAAATCTAACTCAACTTTAACTCAACCCCACTATCCTCAATATTATCAATATAATTAAATAATATCTGTCAATCATTCTTACACATTACATTAACTTTAATTCACTATTCATCCACTCATATAATTTTAACTACCTATCACTTCCAATCATCTATCTCCTACTTTTACATCAAATCAATTTATATGTTAATACAAACTTAAAATCACACAAACTGACCATACCAATTTTTTTCAAAATTAACCATGGTTAACAAAAAAGAAAAAGAAATCAAATATCAATATATTTATAAACAAGCAACCCTAAGGTTTTCGAACTCGAGTTTAATACTCAAACATTGTTTGAGTTTGTTCATTTAACATTAGCTCAAAAATTTATGTTTGAGTTTGTTCATTTAGTCATTCTAAAGTTCGAGTTCATTTGTGCTTGAATGGTTTACCTAGAAGAAGAAAAAAAAATGAAGATAATTAAATTCCTTGCTATATATAAATGCAGAGCTTTCTAGCCCAAGCATCAATTTCTAGTGCTTCGTAACCGTGCATGTCAATTTATGGTATTTCGTAGTCCTATATGTTATTTTTTAGTGTTTTGGAGTATACATTCCCAATAGGAGTTTTTAAATTATAAAATATTTGACTAACTTAAATTATAATATATTGTGAACTTCGCAATTTTTTTACTTGTTATCGAATTTTCATGCTTAATAATTTAAATTAATTATATCTTTACGATCTTCGATTAAATAGTGTTGGCAAATCGTGCTACCGTGTCCTGTTCACATTCACTACTTATTTTCGTGCTACCTGTTTATCTGATCATAAATATTTTATTAAGTCAAAATTCACCCAAATTTTCTATTTTGTGTTTTAGATCGTTCCGTCTTGTGTCGTGACCATCGTGTAATTTTTCTATATAATCGTCTTTTCTAATCATGTCGTGTTCATTTTCATGTCGCGACAGTGATTCTCACGCTTAGATTTAACATCCATATTGTGTATATAAAACTAATTATTACTTACCTTTATAAATAAAAATTAAATTAATCTGAAAAATAATAAAACTATTATGTATGGACTAAACAAATCCATCTATTGAACCTATTATATGATATGACTATGAGTTAGAAAAATAATAAAAATGTAGGACGAGCGAGCCTTACGGGTGACATATGTCATTTTAAATAAAAATAGTAATGCAATTAATTAAGAAGCATTTAAAAATTGAAAATAAAACTTTTTTTGTTTTTAATTTAAGTATAATTTATTAATTAATGCATCTGGTGATGTATTGCTACTACTCTATATATGAAAGGCAACATTATTGTAAACAAGTTGGAGACAAGATTTGAAAATGAATTCAAGCACATAAGAATGAAGCAGAAATGTATATCATACCACGTTATTTAAATTTCAGATCTGTATAAATGAAAAGGGAATTTAATAAAAAAATAAATAAGACATTCAAGACTTCTCACATAAGCATCTCTCTCAAATCACCAAATCCGCAAAGAAATGTATTCTCAACTGACAGCTCAAATAATTAAAAAACACTGGGAGGTTGGCCAGAGAAATGGGCCTGGGAGCTGGGGAGGCTATGGGCTAGATGATGAATGCTTCTTTATTTTTTCCAAATGTTATATTATATATGAAAAATATTCGAAAGTTCACGTGTTCATTAAACCACTAAACGAGCCTATCTTTTTTTTTTGTTCGGACTAAGCTTCTTAACAAACAATCGAGCCTTAATCCAACACCAACGAGCTTTTTTTGCAAACATTCGGTTCGTAAACAACACAAGTCAATGCAGAATACTTACAAAATGTTGACTGTTCTCATCCTTCTCCAAGTTAAATGATACGTTCGTACACTTTGTCCCTCTGACTCTACCATTTAATAAAAAGTAAAATAAAATACTATAACATCTATGTTTCAGATATATCTTCAGCACTGAAGGCCACTTACTGCCCGCAACTCCACCTATATACTTAGCAAGTGGAAATTTTTCATACCTTGGAGCATACTGTAAAAGTCGCTACCCAGGACAAGAAATCTGCACTTCAGATAATATAAACGTCTATGGTTTCAAAAATAACACAGAATCTTTTACAGATGCCAATAATTATTTCGTTCATCCCAGTTTCCAAAACTCGGCTGCTTCGAGACTATTTAAGGTCAGTATGTATGTGATTCCTGTTTCGCTTTTGTTTATACTAATTACATATTTGTCTCTTTTTATGTGTTTTGGCTTCTTATGTATAACCTCTCTCTTCATTCATGAAATTAACTTTTCATGTATTTTGGCTTCTTATGTATAACCTAAGGATATATGTGCAATTAGTCTCATACTCACGATACCTGCATCTGTTGACGACAGGGGTTCTTAACTCAGGGACAAATCAATGGCCTATCATATGTCATCTTGGATCATAATCCTGTACTCGAGTTGCCAAGTGGCCCTACAAAGGATGATGACGTGGCGAACAATTCACCTGATTTACTAGTTTCAAACCAGAGCTCAGAAAATTCTCCACTAACTGATGTTGATCATGATCCACAAGATAATCACAGAGCACCCCTTCTTCTGGAAATTACAACTCCAGAAATTTATATTCTTGATAACGAGTTGCCAAGCAGCCGTACAGAGGATGATGGTGTTGTGGTAAATTCACCTGATTTAGTAGTTTCAAATAACAGCCCTGAAAATTATCTTCCACAGACTGATGTCGAGCATTATTCACAAGATAATTATGGAGCACCTCTTCTGGAGATTAGAACTCCGGAAGTTTTTGTTAATGATAACGAGTTGCAAAGTGGTTCTACAGAAGATGATGATGTGGTGGACAATTCAACTGATTTAGTAGTTTTGAATCAGAGCTTAGAAGATTCTCTACTGACTGATGTTGATAGTCATCCACAAGATAATCATAGAGCACCCATTCTGGAAATTAGGACTCTCGTTAATGATACAAACGAGAAGGCTGAGGTAACCGAGAGCTAATTTCATCAAGATTTTTTATTTTTATTTTTTTTGGCGGCAGAAGGCAATTCATTTAATGGGTTGCAGTCTAAAGATTCTAACTTTAAACACGAGATCGATTTTGAGTTCCTGGAGACATCTAATGATTAATTTTCTTTTCTTTTTTTTGGTGGCCGTTTGAGGGTAATGGAGTTTTTCGGTAGATGGAAAATAGTGCCGTCGAGGGTGGTATTGATACTGATATAGCTTCATTCACATGTTAAATGATGTATGAAAATTGGTTTTCTGAGGTGCATTCATTTGACTCTTTTATATGGATATAAATAGTAAAAATGAGAAGGGGTTGAGGCAGCTATGTCGTGTTACATTGGTGTTGGAAAACATAGAGTACAACTATTTGGATTTCAGATAAAAAGTCATTTGATTGACTTGGATATTATATTCCACTTTGTTTTATGAGGTTTTAATATTTCTCGTTCCTTGCCTTTTGATGGATGAATTTGGTAGTAATTTGATTGGAGTGGCTACTTCTCATTTGACTGCCTTTTCTATTTGGTTTGATATGATTATTTCTCATCTTGCTGTGTTTAGTTAATTGTACTAGAATATAAGTGAAAGACAGGGAAGTATGTGAAAAATTTATCCTTGATTTTCTTGATAATAACCCAAAAAATTCTGAAAAAGAAAAGAAAGTGTTGGGCAAAAGGACACAGTTACAACTGCAGCCAAGAGTAATAGCAATCTTCCGAGAGAGTTTTTCTTCACAGATCTTGGAAAGGAAATTGCTGAATTAATCACTGTGCAATAAATCCACTAATTGAAGCAAAAAATTGTTGTGAGCAAAGTATACGAAGCACTCTACATTAAATTTTGCAACAATTTTGTTTTTTGTTTAGTATATAAGTATATTTGATGTTATCTAATTATGCATCTTATGGATCTTGTTTATTTATTTATTTTCCTATGGCAATATATTCTAATAGAAATTCCAACGGATATTTCAATGGTATAGCTTCCGTTGGAATGATTCCAACGGAAATTCTAACGAAAATATTCCATTGGAATGTAGTTTTCATTAGAATTTTAGATGGAATTTGATGATTTCAACGGCTATATTTCCAACGGATTTTCACCGTAGGAATTTCCATTGGAATATGCAATTTCCGTTGGAATTTTTATTTCCACCGCCGTTGAAAAATCTACCGTTAGAATCGTCAAAATCCAACGGAAATTCCAATTCCAATGGAAAATTCATTCCAACGGAATATTTTTGTTGGAATTTTCATTGGAATTATTCCAACGGAAATAATAGCATTGAAATATCCATTGGAATTGACGTTGAAATTCTATTGAAATATATTTCCGTTGAAATTTCATTATTTTCTTGTAGTGGTAAAAGAGTAAAATATACCCTAATAAATAAAAATACCATAAAATGTAATGAGACAGTTCTTACTACGTCTTCTTTATGTTAATTTCTTGTTGTGTGTAAAAAGCATGAATACAAATAGCAAATAATAACCATGAAAAAAGTATAACAATTACTCATTAATAACTTCAAATGGTGTCATTGTCAAGTATATATTGGGATCTGTATAGCTAAGATGCACAAACCAGCACTTGCATGGCTAATCGGTAAATTTGATAGCAGCATTACATGAGACTAACTTTAAATTGAGTGTGTTAAAATGATTCTATGCTAAATTTGTTATGAAGAACCTGTGCTTTAACATATGAGTAAGGGTATCTTATCTTGAACTGGGAAAATGTTTAAGGCAATATTTACAGATAGCTAATATTTGTAAATATATATATATATATTTGGGAATTGAGACACTCCCTAAATTTTTTTTTTTTTACCTTTTTTATTCACATTTAATTATTCAATTAATGTTTACGCGAAAGTCAAATAAATGATATTTGTGGAATATAAAAATAGTTAATTACGTATTAACGGCTTTACTATCGTTTATAAAGAATAACAAAATTGACATTTATATTTTTGTACTTAGAAGAAATGTTGATGGTGTAGGGGGTAACTTTTTTTATTTTTTATTTTTTTTTTTTCATTTAGTTGGACATTGGTGACCAATTTTTCATTTAGGAGGTCAATATAATGTTCATAGAGTCGGAATGAATGTGCGTGTTAAATCACCAGGCAATTCCAAAATCCTTGCAATTCGGTGCATTATAATTTTCAAAATGTAGTAAGACCATTTCCATTCAAAATGTAAATGAATAGGTGTCTTTTTTATGAAATAACTAATATTATTATTGGTTGCATTCATATTCATAAATTTTTGAGTGTGGCAGTCACATGGTTAGACTGGTCGATCCATTAACTTTTTAAATAATAATTCATATTTATACCGAAAAATATTACATTTATGTTGTTTTTTAATATATGTCACTTGTATAAAATGCAACATATCTACTTAACAAATATGACTACCAACAGTTAAACATGCTTAACAGCAACCATACCATTTCATATTTAAAGGTTTTTTGAATGGGTGCTTTGCTTCTTTGCAGACACTTACAACCATAAGAAAACTATTCTATTTTTGCAGACATTTGTATATTAAATTATTAATTGAGAGTATTGGAGTAACTCGTACAAAGACACAGAGTCGAATTCTAGTCTCAATCTATTATTTTTAATTTTCTTATTTTATCCTTTTTCTGAAATATATTTATGTGGACTCCAAATAAATTTTCTAACTTATTTAGTAAAATATAATATTGCATGTTAAATTTATCGAACACTGTCTCAAAGTTCCAGACAAATGTTATTCTACTGTGTGACCTCTTTTCCTGTGAAAGGTTAACTTTGAAGCATTGGGCTCCAAAATAGCAAATCTTGTAAAATCTGCATAATATTAGTTTAAAAATTCAATGTCCACAGAGCAGAAAATATTTTTGCAAACTGCACCTTATTGTTTAAATTAAATTCAATGTCTACAAGTCACAAATTATTTGGAGAAAGATTCTTAAATAAAAGATTTATATAATGACCATTTCTCATGCCGCCTAATAAGGTAGCATGATGGTATGGAGATGACTTTTGATGCTTTTCTTCAAAAAAAGGTCATATTAATTAATTAATTAATTTTAATTATTTAGTTAACATCATCACATAAAATTAAGTTAGTATGTTACCAGACTGCAATCTCCTTTTCTTTCTCTTTCTTCTTTAGAAGCATGGTGGCTAATCTGCTTGAATCATATGCTTTCTCATATATTTACAAGAAAAGATATGTCTTTTCTATTATAATAGTACACAATGAGCTACCTAATTCTCATATATTACGACAAATTGAATAAAAGCTCTGTATACGTAATGATGTCTNATAATCTATCTATACTTATATAAAAAGAATAATTATTTTTTTTTTAAAAGAAAAATCAAATTCTTAGTCAAACTATGTTATCATTAATTACTTTCTATTACTAGCAAATTATTTCTTTGTTTCCTCAAATCACGCGTGCAACATTAAATGCGTTCGACATTTTTTTTTAACTTTCTTTTCAAAAATTGTGTACTGCATTTAATATCTCCGGTTAGTGAAGCGTTTGTTATCTATTTTTTCGGTACTACATTTTTTTACTCGATTTTTTAATTTCACACAATCTGAACAACATAAAATTTTGAAATTTATTTTGTTTTTATCAGAAAAAGTCTACTACAATTAAATCGAAACATTTTACTATTCGCGTGAACACAAATTGATAATTGTTACATTTAAATTTGATTTTTTTATCAACACAAAATCTGCTAATATATTTTAAAAATACCAACTATTAATTGTCGAGTATGATTTATTTATTAAGTAAATGATATTTTGCACGGGTATTCTTACATGATATTTTGCACTAAGATTCGTGTTCTAATGAAATTCAATTTTTTAATAGCATCAATGAACTTATAATTGTATAGATATGCACGTGTACAATATTGTTAAATCTAAACTTGCTATTATGAAGGAATTTGTTCATTTTCAAATTCAACATCATCAATTAAGATAAATTTTTATAGATATGCACGTGTAAAATATTGTTACATTTAAAATTAATCTGATACCTGTTAAAAAGATAAAATAAACAGAATATGTACCATAAATTAGGATAATTTTCCTGTACCATAAATTAGGATAATTTCCCTCAAAGCTCGGTGCTTTCGGTAAAAAAAAATAAAAATTCGAAGTCTTTAATACAAAGCGCCTTCTCTCGATATGTACAAAGAATCCATTTTACATGGAATTCGAATAATACAAATGTTCTACAAATTAATATTCAAGTGAACACAAAATGATAATTATTACATTTAAATCTGATTTTTTTTATCAACACAAAATCTGCTAATATATTTTTAAAATACCAACTATTAATTATCGAGTATGATTTATTTATTAAGTAAATGATATTTTGCACGGGTATTCTTACATGATATTTTGCACTCAGATTCGTGTTCTAATGAAATTCAATTTTTTAATAGCATCGATGAACATATAATCTATATCTATATATATATAAAGAGTCATCCTATTTACTAAATTTAGTAACAAGAAAAGTCAATTGACAATTAATGCATTCTATTTTTATCATTTTTTTCAAATTTATTATTATTTTATTGTCAAAAATTTGGTCACCATGAAATCTTTACATGAATCGTCAGCCAAAAATCAATTTTTCAACCTTATATTTATGGGTTTTTTTGTGGATTTATTTTATTATCTTCTCTTTGCTTCTCCACATTTTTCTTCTTCTTTTTCCCTAATTTTCCATCTTCTCAAATTCGCAACACAAACCAATCTCTTTTCTTCCTCTCAAATTCTCCTCCTCCCCAATTTCTTATTCCTTTCTAACCTTATCGATTTTGTACAGAAATCAATATAAGGAAAAAAAAAAGCATGATAAAAAAATATGAATTTCTTTACCTGTAGAATTTTTCTGTCTTCAACCGAAGCTGCGTACATTTATGTATAGCAATAGGTTTACTTATTAGGTTGAATGTTTTTTAAATGAGTTATTTCCATAACTTCTTAATTAATTTAAAATAAACATAAATTCTAAAGGATACATTAATTATAATTTTCTTGAGTTTATAAAATAAACTGACAATTATTATTATTTTTAAAATATATTATATGAATAGGTTCAATTATTTGAGTCAATTTATTTTTTAAATACTTTAATATTATTTGTTTAGTTATGATATAATTTTTATAAATGATAATAAAACTTTCAATTGATCCCTTTTTGTTGGTAAATTCTCTTATGTTATACAACCTTCTTTATTTATTTTGATTAATTGGATCTGGTGATTCCTTACTTTAAAAATATTTATAATTATTTATTTGACAAAATACTAATTTCATAAATATTTATAATTAAACATGATTAATTATAAATAATAATAATATAGTATAAAATATAATTTAAAGCCTTTCTATTTTTTTTAATATAGCGAGAGACGAAAAATATATTGTTTTTTAGACTTAACGCTCATTAAAAGAGAGGTGGAAAATAGATGATAATCTTATTCTTTTTTAGACTTAAACAAACCCAGTCTGTGAAAATAACTCATTTAATATTTCTGTCCCGTGCATCGCACGGGGTATGTAATAGTATATCTAAGCAGGGGCGTAGCCAAGGAAGTTAATCACCTGGGCTGATCAACTTGATGAAAAAATTGAAAAAAAAATAGAAAATGTCTAGCTTACGTTTAAAATGCTTGTTTTGCTTTGTTGTTTTATTCTATATTTCTATTTGTTCGAGGCAATATAAATGAATATTTTTTTAATGATCTTGATTGATTTACATGTTTTTTTTTAAATACTATTGAATTTTAGAAAAGTAAAATTTGATTTGAGAATAAAATAATAAGTAAAGTTTGTTTCAATAATAAAAAAACTGTGAAAAAAAAACATTGATAAAAGAATTTAAATTGAGTAATATTTATTATAATTAATACTTGGTGAAATAGTTGAGGAATAAACTATTTAATCAAAATTTTCTATCAAATTACCTCATGGATTTACTCAAAAAAAAACATTGATAAAAGAATTTAAATTGAGTAATATTTATTATAATTAATACTTGGTGAAATAGTTGAGGAATAAACTATTTAATCAAAATCTTCTATCAAATTACCTCATGGAATAAACTATTTTTTTTTTCGATTTTACTTTTTTTTATTAGACTTTTCATTATGTTTTCAACTTTTTCTTTTTTTTTTTCGGTGCCAATGCTAATTTAAAGTGAATTAGTTTTATGTGGATAATAAAATATTCATAGTTCTTGCACACTGAAATGAACTTAAAAAAATATTAAATATATTTATTCAAATCCAAAACATAATTAAGAGAGAGAGAAGCAATATTAATAAATTATCAACTAGAAACTCATATGCTCATATACAATGGTCTTGGTTAGAATTTACATTAGACTCAAACTTATCTATACATGTATAAATAAAACAAGAAAAAACTTATCTCGGGCTTGAGCCCACCCCAGAGTATGTGTGGCTCCGCCCCTGTATCTAAGGTTGTATAATAGAACATCGTGAATGTTAATTAAAGAAAGCACCTTTGATTTTTTTTTTTTTCATTATAATTTCTCAAAGCGACTTAGGTTAATAATGCTACAAAATATTGATATGAATATTTGCGAATGCTACTAAGTTATATATGACGTGCATCGCACGTGTACTTTATTTGTTATATAAAAGTTCTTAGATTACTTGGTAATACTTTCTATCTCTAGTGATCCATTTAACTCGACTCCGAAAGAACAGGCAAAGAAAAAACATTTTAACTATGATGTAGATGAAGACTAAACTTGTTTTTGTGAATTTTATTAAAAAGTCGTACAGAAATGAGAACTAATATTATTAAACGAGTTAGTTCTATGAAAATTATTGTGTTGTGACAAACCTTCAGTTTAAGGAAATTGAGTACTGCATTATTGTACATTTGATTATTTAATATTCCAATTCTACAAAGTCGTGGGAAGAAAATTATCCATTTCAATGAAAACCTGAATGTATACTGTGAATCAGAGAATCAGAGAAACAAATTTAAATGATCAGAAAAATGTATGTATTCTTTGTACAGATATCAGTGAAAGCAACATGAATTGATGGCCACGCCATCTAAGTATATGTTTCTGAGTTAATGGGTTTGTTACATCAAATCAAAAGCTAAAATAAAACATAAAAATGACATTCAACAACACCACATGATCTGAAAAACCACCAAAGGTTTTTTCATGGTGAGAATGTATATCAACTCTATAAATATTAAATACTACATATATGGTTTTCCCTCCCAAACCCCTCAAGCCATCGAGCAAGGTCATCTGGAGGAAAAAAAACAAAAAAAAAAAAAAATATATTGAAGGTTCTTCGAGAACCCAAGCCTTGATCATAATAAATCCCTCCCTTCATGAGATATACCATCACTGCATATTCAGTTCTTTCTCAAATGGAATAATTAAGCATAAAAAACATGAAAAACTGTCCTCACAGGGAAGCACAACCCAATCCTCTGGCTTCTGCTCCTTTCATGATCCTCAACCTCTTGCAACTTGACATAAACATTCTGCAACAACACAAACATTGCAAGATAAACAACAAATTACTAACTGCAGAAAGAGAGTAAGAAAGAGGGAGAGAGAGAGAGAGAGAGAGAGAAAGCATTTGAAACTTACTCCCATGGAACATCCCCCAACAGCATCAAGTCACCATCTTTATCTTCATAAGCCGGAGCATATTCAGATCCTTTATACCCTTCCCTTTCAGAGTACTCACCTGCAAATACAAATAACAAACCCCGTCATAAGAAAATACACCATCACTGCATTTCTATTAACACAATCTATCCACAAATATTATTTGTCCCAACAAGATAATTATTAAGTACTCAAATAGTGGGTGTACCACCTATGGTGAGCTTGAACATGGCCTCCAAACCCTGAATTAGCTCTGCATATCCACTGTAGAGCTTCAGATCGATCTTTCTCAAGAATGGCGCCCCATCCACGCTCACCTTCACATACATCCCCGACTCATTCTCACTCTTCTTTGCCTGTACGTTGTTTTTCCGGTAGGACTTCACCGGCGGCCACCCAACTATCTGAGCCCTGTCCCACACAGACATTTCATCAAACAGGTTAGATGCACTGACTAATTAAAACAACCCTAACAAATTTGCAACCACATTCTACAAGCTTTTACTTGGGAGCTGGCGAAGCCGACTCGGCCTCGCCTGATTTGACGGAAATTGCTTTGGAACCGTTGCTGATATTAACCTCCGCCGTCTCCGGCGAGGCTCGCTTGTTGTTCTTGCCGGGAAAAACGGATTCGTCGTCGGTGCCCGGTAATCCCAATCTGAGCTCGGTCGCCTTCAACGCCATTGCGATTTCCATCACTTTGCTTTTCCTTGACACGATTTCGGAGTGAATTTGGTTAAGCTTGATTGAATTTGATAGGATTGATTTGGGTATTGAGGAGCAGGTTTTGTTTGCGTAATGGAAAAGTGAAATGTGTTTTTATAGATAGATTAATTGTTGTGTGTATGTGTAATATAATTAATCTTTTGGATTTGTTTAAAAAAAATATAGAAATTTGGTGTAGGTTAGGGTTAATGAGTGGGTGCATGAATTTCGAAGAAAGGGCGGTGAAAGGTTGTCGGCGGGGAAAGGAGCAGCTGAAAAAGCAAGTGATGAGATCCTGAACAGAGGGGACATGAGAGGGACAACGCTCAGAAGACTCCCATTTCATAATTATTAACAATTATTTACTATCTACAATGTTTAAAAATTCATGTCATGCATGTCATATTATTCGCTTATTCTATATTTTAGAATAATCCTTCAGTTTATTTCTATCTGAATTATCATATATAAGATGATATTAACCTTGATATAATAACACATATCACCACGATTTATTTTTTATTTGAACTATCACATGTAAGATGATTTTAAATTTCATGGAATAACAAATACGACGATCGAATTTACACATCACATCACTTTAAAATCAACAACTTCTAAATATACATATTATTTTTTTTATTGTATTCTATGTTAAAAAATTTGTCACAGTAGATTTGATCTTTCCGTTTATATGAAGATGATGTATTGTCTTTCAATCCCACAGGCGTTGCTTCGATATAAGTTTTTTCAAAAAAATTTAGGCATTTTCACCCAATCACGGTACAATTCATGCTTGGATACAATATTGAAGCGGGTCCCAACCGAACTGCTTTAATTTCAAAAATGTTGCAGGCTTCGTTGCTTACTCACAACAGTTCGGCTTCGTTTTTCAACAACACATTAATTTACGCACTTTGAATAATAAAACTTCTATTTTTTTTTTGCATAATTTGGAGAGATATGATTTGCACTGTATTATTGTTCCGTCCTGTATTTTGTTCCCGGTCTGTTTGTTTCACAAGATCGATTTTTTGGTTAATCATCTCATAAAATCCGGTGCATATGGATTAGAATATAAATTATTGATTTTTGTGTCTTTTGCATGCAATTTTATTTTATTTTTCATACTAGACATATTGCATACGATTTCCTTCCACTTTGAGTGTTTAGGGATTAAGTATTTTTGTAGCTGGAAGGGATCCATAGTTATTATTGAAGTCCACGTGTTTGTGACCAAGAAAGTAATTGATAGGATCAGGTATAATGTTGGCTAGACTAAGAGGGAATCCGAGTCGAGTAACTCCAAACTGTACTTTGTGGGATGCAAACTGATTTATCAATAAAAGAGCCCTGAGGGGTAGTAGGACGTTCCCCAAAGACATTTGTTTGAATATTCATGCTTTCGCCATTTATTTCTCTATATTGCAACACACTTTAGTAATACAAAATTTCTGTGTTCTAACACAGTCTGCGTACTCTATACTCCCCGATCCTCGTTTCACGAAGCATTTGACATTTAGACTTGAAAAGCTCTACGTTTATTCTTAGGGAGAATTTTCTTGATTTGCCTTCCGTTTTTATGTATTTGATCATACAATTACGTAACGTAGAATTTTCTTGATTTGCCTTCGGTTTTTATGTATTAGATCACACATTAACATAAAAATAATGTAGGTGTTTATGATATGAAACAATATGGATGTGTAAGTAGGTTAAAAATTTCAAGGTTTTGCAATTAATTATATAAATAATGTTCACACTTTGCTTGCATTCTTATTTATGACTTTATATCTGTCATAATCATTATATATTTTCTTGTGTAAGTAGAAAAGTTTAAATGTATGTTGTTCCTTGGTTGCTTTTTTCTCTTGTGCAATGTTCATGCTTCTCCGTAATCTTTCTTTAGATCATAAAACTAAGAAAAGCAACTCTAATAACTGCAGTTGGGTTCTTTTCAAATGCTTTTCAAACTTATTATATGTTGTTTGCCTTTTTTTATTCGTTTCATATTAACTTTTCTTTCGAATATTTGCATACTATATTTGTGCCATTGCCCAAGTCCTGCGAAGATCAATGTTAATTACAAGAAAAAGATAATCCAAAGTAAACCTTTAAACTTTTGCTTTTCTATACAATGAATCATTACATTTAAACATTAATTAAATGTGCATATGATTGTGTACATATCTTTAATTTACTTAACTCCATTCTATAATGGCCTTAAAAACCAATAGTCATGTATGATACGACAAATTTTTTTAATGCCATTTTTTTTATCTACGTTAAATATCCCTCTCTCTCTCTCTCTCTCTCTCTCTCTCTCTCTCTCTCTCTCTTTTTTCATTTTTTTCCGTTTAAATTAGATATCTATGATTTTACTTATTCTTCTGAATTTTAGATTTTTTATTTGATACCATTTTTTATATGTAGTATGTTAAATTAACTATTTTTTAACGTTCTTAAGTTCACTTCAATATAATATATGTTCAATCACCTTAATTATAAATAAGTAGTGATTATACGTTCAATCAATTATTTATACTATAACCTTAATTTGAAAATAGTGATTGAATGTCTTACAAAAGAATTATAAATGTATATCATATAATATATCACAAAATTGTTCGGTATAATTGCTTAACATAAATTAATACAAAATGGACGTAAATAGTTATTCCCACATCAGTTATTAAAATTAAAATGACAAGATTACAGATCATCTTCAAGCCATTAATTACTAACTCAAAAAGTAAAATCAATTTATTTATAGATTGTTGAAATGATATGCATCTATATATTTGTTAGTTTAATATTAATCATAAATTTTTACGTATGAGAGAAAACTAAAAGAAAAAACATATTCAACAATTTTATTTATGAAAATAATATTCCAGACATAAGGGTCAGTATAATAATTTAAATTAAAAGGTTTAGTAGGGAATATTTCCATGTTCTTACAAAATACAACATCAAATTTATGAGAAGATTCAAAGCACGCACCAATTAACACAGAAAATGGAATAATATAATGTCAAATGTCCTTTGGGGGTCTTTAGGGGGTGTGTTGTATTTAGCCACAAAATGATTATATATTATAATATATATATATATACATATATATACACATATATTTATATATGTTAATATAAAAATAAAAAATAATTGAAGAGTGGAGTATTAGATTATACGTTACTCAATGAGCTGTTGCTGAAATTCCTTGTACCATGATTCTCAAAATAAATTGTAAATATTTCACCAAATTTTATCATTGTGTTTGACTTTGGATTATGTATGTATCTTTTATTAAATTAAATGGAGAAAGTTTCGATAGTTGAAAGAGGCTTCCGCTAGCATGGAAAGAATATGCAACATGAAATAATTATTCCGGAACATAATTAGTTTCACTTATTATATATTTTCCGTCTAACCTCTTATGAAAGACGGAATAACTAACTAAATACAAAGATCGTTTTTTTTTTTTAAAGAAAGAAAGAAAATAAGAATACAGACGCTTAATTTATTAAGATACCATTTTATGTCTATTATTTGTGGAACTGGTCTTTTTAAGTGTACAGAATACAGAATCTAACTATAATTAATTACAAGCGGAATAAAATATATTTATACAAAAAAAAAAAAATCAATAATTTGGGTGCAATTAAAGTTATTAAATCCGGCCCGATAATGGTCTGATCTGACCTCTGAATCATGGGGTTACCAATTCAACAAAACTTATTCAGTCAATTGTTGAAACGAATAATTAGTTTTAAATAATTTAAAGGTTAGGGGCAATATTTTTTACACCCTTATATGTACATGGTCTTTGTTTTACATTATATCCCATCAAACAAAATCTTCTTCATCCCAAAACTCATGAAATGATATGTAATATAAAACTCGCATATCCAATTAACCGCATAATTAACAATTATGGGAAATATTGTCGTATATTTATCGACGCATCTTCAAATCGGACGGATAATTAAAAATTATGTGAAATACTTCCGCATATGTTGTAAGCGCATATCAAAATTCATCGCATAATTTACCATATTCAAAGGTATTTCGTATATATAGTTATCGGATATTCAAAATTGATAGCCACATAGTTTACAATTATGCGACATGTTTTCTCATAGTTTATGACTCTCATATCCAAATCAACCGCATAATTACCATACGAGATAACTTTTCGCATATTCTGTTATCGAATATCCAAATCGAAAGTCACATATTTTGTGGCTATGCGATATATTTTCGCATTGTGTACGGCTCACATATCCAAATTCACTGCATAATTACCATATGCGATAACTTTCTGCACATTATGTTATCACATATCCAAATCAAACTTCGCATATTTTATGTTATACGACATATTTTCGCATAGTTTACAACTCGCATATCCAAATCTAACGTCGCATAAATATTTTATGCGACATATTTCGCATAGTTTATGACTCGTATATCCAAATCAAACTTAACATATTTTTTGTTAGGCGACATATTTTGGCATAGTTTACGACTCACATATCCAAATCCACCACATAATTGGCCATATGCGATAACTTTTCACATAAAGTATTCAAATACTTTTCATATCCAAATCGACCGCATACTTTTCAAGAAAGTATGCAAGTTCACCTACCCAGCTCATTTCAAATTCAGAGGCCATGAGCTTCACAAATTGATTGACCAACTTTTTGGGGGTTCACCCAAAGATGATGTCATCAATGTAGATCTGCACTACCAGAAGCTCTTTATTTGTCTTAGGAATGTTTGATCTGCTCCCCTCGCTTGAATCCCTTCCCAAGAAGGTACATGGTTAAAATCTCATACCAGGCTCTTGATGTTTGCTTCAAGCCATACAACTTCTTCTTGAGTTTGTACACGTGATTTGGATTGTTTGGATCCTTGAACCCTTCAGGTTGCTTCACGTATGGTTCATCATTGAGAATTCGATTTAGAAAGGCCGATTTGACGTCCATTTGATACACGAAAAACACATAAAAAGCCAAAATAGAGCAAAACATACAATAGACTATAAAACGAACTAAAAACCAATTAAAAGACCTAAAACGGGAAAAAAAGAAGAACAAAATAACAACGAAAAACGCAACAAAATGGAACAAACAATGCTTGCGCCCTAAAAGACTTCGGGTATGTTAAAAAGTCTTTTCCGCATCTTCCTCCTAATGAGCCAGATCTCATTAAATCTCTAGAGTCCTTACTAACCCATACTTCCTTTATTCAAGGTATTCGATTCCCTTATTCCGGACGATACTACCGCGTCATCCACGTTTTCGTCAGGCCGAACCCGCAGACCCTATCTTCATTGAGGTCATCGCGCGATTCCCGACTAACAGCTGCCATATACCAGAGAGGATGTTCAACCTGCCCTGTCCTGAGAACTCCCACAAGTCTCCCAAGCTGAGCTCCCTAAAGGAATTTACCGCGCTATCCTCAGGAGACATGCGCCTCTTCACCCGCCTAGACTTCTCAAAATCGTGCTTCCCAGAGTGCTAAATGACTCGGCCCTTCGCCATACTGACACAATCTGTTCCTCTGACCTCGTATCTTCTTTGTCCCAAGCTGCTACACTCGCACGTGAGTACCGAGCTACATCCGAGCTCGGCCGTCGCCTGTACTTTACGAGCCACATTCTATTCGGCTATATCAAGTAGTTTCTTGTATATATTTTCACGTTTTACTCCTTTTTTTTTTTCCTAAAGATGAATTCAAAGTTTCGCCATGAGTTAAGCACATAATATTCGTTTCATGGCTCCAATGTGGACCACATCCATGAAGCCACTCCTATTTATTTATTTCTTCTACTTTATTTTCTATTATAGAAAACCATCCACTTGAACCATTAATTATAAAATTTTGATAAATAAATAATGAGGCAATCATAATACGCATTTCAACTCAAATACTTTGTTATTAGGGCCATCCTGAATTTCGATTTACCACCAAAAAATTTTAAAAAATAATAATAATAAGTTTAATTATTTTAGTAACATGGTAGCTCTTGATCCTAGAAGATCAAGACGGTCTACATTATCCACGTGTCGCAATCTTGATAAAATTAATGCAACCCAAATTGGTATAATATATATATGCCTATCTAACAATCATATACATTTCCGTNAAAAAAAAAAAAAAAGTAAGAAAAAATTTATCGACTGAGGTGAGACAGATTGATCGTTTTAATTTGCTATGGAAGTTGGGTTTAATCTGGAGGAGACGGAGCTCTGCCTCGGCCTGCCAGGTGGCGGCGCCGGAAGTGATCCAGTGATGAAAGCTCCAGGGAAGAGAGGCTTTTCTGAGACCGTTGATCTCAAACTCAAACTCCAATCCAACGAATCTGCTGCTTCGGATCTGGATGAGGGCTTGAAAAGCTCTTCCATGGAGAAATATGTGGGTCCCCCTAAGGATCATCCACTGGCCCAGCCGCCAGCCAAGTAACTATTTATTTTATTATTTATATACTTAGTTTTTTTTTTTTTCCTTTAATAGGTTCTCGTTATTTCTATATATATCAATATTTCTATAAAATCATTATTATTTATTTTTTTCTTTTCAATAATTAACATGCATATATATAAATTGGTGTGCCCATGCATTAATTAATATTATTGGTGGCATAAAATTAATTTATAATTTTTGTAGGGCGCAAGTGGTGGGATGGCCACCTGTAAGGTCTTTCCGGAAGAAGGCGGCCATGGCCCAGCAGAAGAGCTGTGAGGAGAAGAGCTTTGTTAAGGTGTCAATGGAAGGAGCTCCTTATCTTCGTAAAGTCGACCTCAAGATGTACAGTAGCTATCAGGATTTTTCTAATGCCCTCACCAAAATGTTCAGTTCCTTTACTACCGGTAATATTCTAATTTCTGGAGTTTTTTGTTTTTTATTTATCTAGAAAAAAATATTAATTGGTGGAAGTTTTAATTAATTTACGTGTTTTTTTGTATGAAACATTAATATCATAATATAATAGGTGATTATGTGGCGACTTATGAAGATAAGGATGGAGATTGGATGCTCGTCGGTGATGTGCCCTGGGAGTATGTATTATTTTTGCTTTTTTTTTTAATTATATATGTAATATGTCCGTTAATTATTTTTTCATTTTACTTTTATCCTATGCCTTATTATTTGCCAAAATATAATATATATTCAAGCACTAATATTGATTGATTGATGTTTCAAGCGCTTACGTATTATGAAAGGATCTGAAGCAATTGGCCTTGGTATGTTGTACAATTTTTTATTCTTTTTTCAAATATACGTCTTTAAGTTCGTTATTAAATTAATTTATTATTTATTTATTGTGGTAAAATTCAGCACCAAGGGCCATGGAAAAATGCAAGAGCAGGAGCTGAGTGAAGATTAAGTATTGAAAAAGTTTGTTTCTTAATTATTATTTTAAATATTTATCCTTTATATGTGAGTTTTGTGACTGTCTTTTACTATGTTGTAGTATACACATATGGAAAAGTATGTGGACAACTGTAATGAAGAAGAAGCAAATGCACTCATCTGTTATTATTATCTTTTAAAGGCTTTATTAATTATTGCCTTGCATGCTTAATAATTACCTCCTTATTCTTTTGATATATCATATATCATGTTAGTACATGTATGCTGCCACAGTTGTGTTCTTGTGTATATTCTCTTTGCTTCAAATTTAAGGGGAAAAAATGATTTGTTAAATATTTTATCCTTCACCAGATTCTTTGTATGTTGTTATTCATATTTTAAATTTATTGATAATTGCAAACTGCTGTTTCTTGATTATTATAGTCCCCCAAGTAGAGGGCTATAGGGAACAAGGCCATGTGCATGTTCTTGGAAGTATTCCTTTCAGTATTTGCCATTTCTTAATTGCATATTTTATACATTCAATACTTTTTCCATTATACAAGTTATTGTTAGAATTTTGAGTGTATTTTAAATATTGGTCCCATTTCCCAGCTGCCAATTGATATGATAGACAATGCATGCGTGAAGAAATTGTATTTGGTGAACAAATTGACAAATTCTTCAACTACAAATACCAAAAATCCCAACCCCCAAACCAAATCATCAACATCTTGCAACCAATTTTCATCTATAAATACTCATCAACTCATTTGATGAAAAACACAAAAGAGAAGAGGAAAAATACCGAAAAGAAGAGAAGGAAAAGAAGAGAAAAAAGGGAGAAAAAAAAGAGAGAAGAAAAATAGAAATATATATATATATGTATATATTAGTGAGAAAAAATTATCATATAGATAATTTTATTTTTATTTTTAAGTGCTCAATTCTCGACTTCAATCCAGTTCGCTGGAGCTCGTAAATCTGGTGTGCTATAGATTTAGAGACGTTTGCCGTTGTATCTTTGGGGAAGTTACGTCGGAACCGTTACCTGCCACACGGGCCGTATTCTTCTTGCGGAAAGAGTTTACTCGCCTCGGCTAAGATCTTTCTAATTTTTTCAGTTGTAATTTATTTTTCAATTTAATTGTAATTTTCTATTTTTAGATTATTTGTAAGAATTGAAAAAAAAAAAAATACATATCAGTTCGTAGGACTCCCGTGTAATTTTTATACCAAATTTATAACAGTTATGTGGGCTCTTCTGTTCTTCGCTTTCTTTTTCCGCGGGTGATGTGAATAGTTTATCTATCGGGCTTGTAGGCGCAGGAATAACAAACTTAGTTTACTTAATTCCATAAATGAGTAGCAGACCGTTTAAATGTACAATTTTTGCATATATACAGCAGGTTCTAATTAAAATCAATTTTGGTCTGAGATCCGTGTTAACTATGTTATTATTTTTATAGTATTGATACTTTTAAAATAAATTCGAAATTAAAAATAGTAACAAACACAATAAAAAAAATAGCTTAATATTCAATTTACCTATACTGTTTTTATTTGACCCACTTTCTATACATACATACTGATGTGCCAAAATAATCGACTCACCGAGGTTGCCGGTCGAACCGCTTCATCTCGATTGCAAGAGAGCTCGGACGTCTCGATCGGCTTTGTCTTCAAGAACCGGATCGACCTGCAAAGCGCCGGGGCAGGGCACGGCGTAGACACTCCGACGCTCAAGTTAGAAAACGAATGTTTTAATCGTGTATTTCAATAATCTTAAGAGCTCAGCATTAGAAAAAGAACCTGGTCCCTTATTTATAAGGGGTTTAATGACTTACTCCCCAAGATAATGAGTTTCCTCAATAAATCAGAATTCTGATGTTCCTCAATAAATGTGTAGATATACACCGACTTTCATGAATATCTTTAACTAATATCGTGTATCGCATAAAATAGACTACAAGCTCCCTTGGACCGGCCTTACCTGAGCTAACCGGTCAGGCCGGTCCACCGAGTTATTTCTGGTGCTACATCATCTAGCCCCCCCACTCTAGACGAGCTTGCTAGCACAATACTCGTCTAAGAGTAGAACAATCATTTCTCTCTCAAGTATATCTCGTAGGACTACGGCGTCAAGATCCTGGGCTCATCCAGGCCCCATGGTTTACCACGTCAAAGTTCTGTTGCCTTTTGCGTGCAACTATGGCTCTTGGGCCAACGTTGCACATTTCTTGACTTTGTGGTCCCCGAGCAACCTGCTCGATGTTCTGCCACCTTAATACGTTTTAACACTCGCACTCTCTGCTCGAGTTGTAACGATGACTCCCGCATTTATGACCTCCAGGAGGTGAGGTATCTTTATACGCAAGCGACATCGTCTTTGCTGGTTCGAGTTGGGCACATCCATTGTGGGTTATTCTCCCGAGCTCGGGCACTGCCACAACGGGCTAATTGCCCTCGATCCTGCTACAATTCAAAGAACCCATTGTCGAGCTCCAAGAGCTTGGGCCACTCCACGACAGGCTTTCGCCCTAAAGTTGGCTACGAGTTCGAGGACCCGCTGCTGAACATATAAACACAACGATATTGCCGAGCTTATAAACACAACGACTATCCTGCCCTAATGCGGCGGCGAGTTTAACTTCATGCCGGGCTAGGATAAGCTCGGTAATTGTTTGAATCGGAAACCTGCCGAGCTCGAGCTTGAGCGACTTCTTCAATAGGCTTTTTTTTTTTGCCAAGTAATATGTATTTTGTGGTTCCCTTCAATTTTTTTTCCTAGTTGAGTTAAAAGATTTGCGTGGAAAGAAAATTAACTAAGTCTTACCATTTCAAATTAAGTATGAACAATCTCCCCCTAAAAATATGCACTAATGTAATTACTAAACAATAATGTTGACTAAAATAGACACTCTTAATTAAGTATAGTGTTTTGAATAAGTAATACCAAAAATATTTGAAACAATCAGGACCATCAATATTAATATAATTAATGGCTAGGATTGGTTCCTAGTTCTTACACTCACGTAGAATTCTCATTTGAGCTCTTTCATATATATATATATAGGGTCACACTACGGTGAGAATGGTGTTTAATGAAAGAAATGAGAATAAATCGTAGCCATTAGATCATCCGATCTAATGGTTAATAAAAAGTCAAAACCAAATTAATATCCACCACATTAGTGGGCCCCACCCCAATGAAAACATTTCACATTCCCATACAACCCGTCACCTACCCCTCTCTCTCTCTCTCTCTCTCTCTCTCTCTTTCTCTCTCTCTCACAAACACACACACACACTCTTCACGGTGATGCAGAGATGGATATTGCTTGGCTCTGCCGTCACCGAGTTCCGGCGCCATACCGGTACCCAGGTCGCCGTCGATCGTAGGCCGCGTCACCCGTCAACAATGTCTGCCGGTTGCTGCTACGAGAAAGGATACCGGAGATCCGATGCATCTCTATTCCCTTCTGTACCACTAGCCGCCGTCGCCGCGCGAGTTGGATATTATCGGTAGACGGTGGTCGGGTTGGGCGGAAAGCTCCGGTGGCACCTTTATCCGCCATTCAACTTTAACAGATACAAATCGACTCCGGCATCAAGCGCCTCCGGCAATGGACTGTCCGCACGTCCGCTGCTGCTGGCGATGTGGTGGGTGGAAGGATGGCGGGGGTGTGGTGGTTGAAGGTGCTGAATTAATTAATTGGGGGCTAGGGCTTGTTTAATGAGAATTAGATATACTAGAGGAATCTATTTGCAATTTTAAAGAATTTAAATATAACTCTATTTAATTAATGTTAAAACCTGTAAATTAACAAAAAAGTATAATAAGTGCACACTATTGCTAGTTAAATTGCACAAATATCGTGTAATTTATCAAAAAATATTGCTAGTTAAATTGCACAATATTGATAGTTAAATAATAAGTACACTCTTATAATAATAAATAATAAATTATTTCAATTATTTAGATAATTCGATGTACAATTTTACCTAATAAATTTAGTTTTAAAAAATACATAATTTATACATGGTTATATAAATAGTGCACTTTGTATATCAGCGCGATGAACTTTATAACACAAAACGTTGCACTGTATAAAACAAATTGTTGCACCAACAAGCATTATAATGTAACAAAATTGCAGTATGTCACTTTATATATTAACGCAATGCACTTTATAAAACACCACGTTGCACTTTATAAAACAAAGCGCTGCAGTTTATCGTGACTATCGGATTGTACAACATATATCAAAACCAACCGACTTTTTTTTTTTTTTTTTTAACAGAAATATTATAAAAGTAATAAATTAAATTATAATGTATTAAATATATTTGCAATATAAATTAAAATAAATCTTTTGATTATTTAGGATAATTCGGTTAGCCAAAACGAATAAACCAATTAATCATGTTCAACTTTAATTTGTTTAGGAAAAATATTCATTTGGCTCAATATGCACAATACATACTGACACCATTTGGCTCAAACATGTTCGATGTACAATTTTATCTAATAAATCTAGTTTTAAAAAACACATAATTTATATGTGGCCATATAAGTATTGTACTTTATTTATTAACGTGATGCACTTTATAACACAAAACGTTGCACCGTATAAACAAATCGTTGCACTCTATCACAATGCTATACAATTAATGCCAATATCTCCGCCGAAATACCACACAACATTAAAATAAAAATAAAAAATAAATAAAAAGATCTACGTAATACTTTAACATCTATCAAATCATCAAAAAAAAAAGGAAAAAAAAAAAGAAAACACAAGCATTCTAATGTAACAAAATTAAAGTATCTCACTTTATATATTAACATAATGCACTTTATAAAACATCAAGTTACACTTTATAAAACAAAGCGATGCACTTTATCGCAACTCTCAGATTGCACAACAGATATCAAAACCAACTGAATTCAATTTTTTGTTGACAATCAGAAATAACATAAAAGTAATAAAATAAATTATAACATATTAATTATATTGGTAATATAAATAAAAAAAATATTTTGATTATTTAGGATAATTCGATTAATCGAACCTAATAAACCAATTAATTATGTTCAACTTCAATTTGTTTATGAAAAAAAATATCGTTTTGTTCAATATGCACAATACATACCAACATAGTGCACCATAGTATTGGACGAATTGCACCTTAATAACTGTTAGATTGAACAAAATATTTCATTTACATGTATACTATTTTTTAATAAAAATATAAAAATAAAATATTAAATAAAACAATATTAAAAACTAAAAATAATTTTACAATAAATAATATAATTTATTTAAGTTAATTTTGTTATTTCGCTTAACTGACAAATTAAACCGATTAATGTCACATAATAATGTGTAATTTATGTAGCATTATAGTGCATTAATTTAACTTTTACTATATTACACATTTACCCCAGGTATTAAATTGAAATAAACCAAACTTAGAAAAATTACAAATAAAACCCTAAAACATATCAAATTTTCAAAAGGTAGCCCACAATTCCAAATCACATTAACCTCCATCCACCTCCGCCTTAGTTCACTCGCAAGTTAAGGTCGCTGTCTCTATGGTCACTCGCCGTCGGAGATTGATGCCGGAGAGCAGCCTCTCGCCGGACGTGGCAGTGAGCTCTCGACGGAGCATGTTGTGACCGGCGACGACGGCGGGCTATGTCAGAAGCTTCGCTGGTGTTGGCGGCGACGGAATCGCCTGGCTTTGCCGGCAGAGATTTGGTAGTTGCTAGAGGAGGCCGGCGTGAAGCTTGGGGCGATGCCTAGCTGCGGACATCTCCGGTGGCCACGACGGGCAGCAACGGCGGTGTTTCTGAGGGTTGCCATCTCTTTGGTAGACGGCGGCGCAGCAGGCTGGTGGTGTTGTTTTGGCCGGAAGTGAGCGGATTATGCCGTGGAGCTTAGTCGGTTGCTGATGGCGGGCGTCTCCGGTGGTCTTCTAGATGTCGGCGGTGGCGAGAGCCGTGCTGATGGCTGGCGGCGGCGGGTGGTGGTCCGCGGCGGCAACAGACGTGCTGTGTGTGTGTGTGATTTTAGATCTGAAATCGATTTGGTGTGAAGGAGCGGGATGAAAAGAAAATAAATATTTAACTGGTAAGTAGGTCCCACATAATAAATATGTATTGACCAACTTACCCTTAATTATTGATCAAATACACATATTTGACCACACTATGATCAAATAATTACCAAATTGTCATTAATGATTGATCATGTTTTGACTTCATCTTAACCATTAATATGATTGATCCAATAGTCCAGATCCATTCTTATTTCTTTCACTTCTACCATTCTCATATGATCCTAACTCTCTCTCTCTCTCTCTATATATATATATATATATATATATTATTTTTTTNTAAAAATGTAAAAAAATCAAATAAACCATATCGATATAAAAACATAATTTAAAATCGTATAAAAAAAAAATATACAAATCATAAACCTCGTGCACTTTAAAGTTCTACCTTTACTAGTTATTATTATTATTATTACTTGTTAATAATAAAAAGAGTGTACTGCCTTTTCGGCAGTAGACCAAATTTCATGCAAACACGAACTTCCATATTCTGGAGACCATAAGAAACTAAGAAAGACCTGATAAATAATCATGTCAACTCTAATTGATACAAGATGAAGGCAAAGTCATATATTAAAATTCTTTTACCCCAAAAGCTGATGATCAAGTATGAAGTATATTCCCCAAGTCTCACACAGTCTCACTAACAAGTAAATCAAGCAAAAGCTATCTCCTCTAAGCTGCCGCTTATATCTTCAGCTACTTCAACTTTGGGTTCCAAATCTATAAATTGGTTTGACTTACTGGCCAGGTGAGAAATGCTCACTCGGCCCTCACGTCTTATGTAATCGGCAACAGCTCTCATTTCTTCCAAAGAGATGTAAATGTATTTTCCTCTATCGTCCATCACACCAGATAGCCTTCCTGTAGCCAGAAGAAAACATTTATCGATTTTAATGGCTTCCCGTAAAGAAATGGATGCAAAACACACAATAAAAGGGGATGAACTTATGATAGGGAGAAATGAGGATATACCCATGGATTCCAGTGACGTAATCCGATTTATACAATCCTGCATTGAAATCAGAAATCAGAATGGGGCATAAAAGCTGCAATTTCTGAAATTTCACAAAGCTGCCCTGGATTCTTAATCTAAATAGAAAAAACTCCCACATCTGTTGGAATTACAAACACGGGCTTGAGGATTTTATTTGCATCAAAGATACCTTCGTCTCAACTCCTCAGGGTGCACTTTTGAAATTAATCAATCAGGTCGTAATCAGGCTACAGATCAGAAATTTATTTTTAACTTATAGAGAAAAAATAGATGGTTTGGTGATATAGGAAACATTAAAACAAAAACTTTGTCTGTTTACAGTTTTTTATATATATCCATGATAAATGTGAATAATGAAGCCTACGAGGTACCTGAGTTCGCAACTTAAACTCTGCCGCAATTTCTTCCAGGGGAACACATTTATGCTTCTGCAATGTAAAACCAAGAAAAAAATAAATAAAAAATAAGATATTATATATCAACTGTCACGTATACTTCCACCAAATAATGGTGTCAAATACCATTATCCTTCATACAAGAAACATAAGTTTAGTTTCAGTAGAACACAACTACCAAAATCACGAAATCGATCCGCAAACAAACATAAGAAAAAAGAAGTGGTCATCAGTGAATCACCTTGATGTACTCGACAAAATCATAGAGCAGCCCCTGGCTTCCATCCTGAACTTCATTTTCTGTTGTCCCCTCAGCATCAACAGAAAAATCTCCTTTCCATTTTTCAAAATCTAAAGCAGCAGCTTCTTCCTCCTTAGCTTTCCGAGCTAGGGCTTCTTCTTCCTGGATAAAGTTATAACAATCACTTGCTAACAAAGTCATTAAACAGTTAATACATCCAACACAGTCACAAATTTTTTTGTGACACGAACCAGCTTTCTTTCTTGAGCTTCACGCTCCTCGTCCTTCCTCCTCCTCATCTCCTCATAACGATCTTGTTTTGTTCTCCTCGACTCACGGGCAGCATCTTCAGCCTTCACGAGAAGTCAGTATATAAAAAACTCAAACATGAAACATTCTCAAATGACAGAATATTTTAAAATATCCTTTTCTCAATATCCACGGAAGTCGTCCCAAACAATGTTTTAGGCATAATATTAGTCAATAATAGAGTCTACACACAGGTTTGGGATGTGAGAATTGGGAGTGTTTAAAAGTTTAAACAAGCTTGCATAAGCAGAGAAAAAATAAATTATAGTTCGCCCAGAATGGACATTGGTGAGACTGAGAGGATTCAAAAAGAATCATGTTGGAGTTACCTAGATGTTGACTCACTTCAAAAAAAAAAGAAAAACATGTGTCACAATACACTCTCTTTTTCTGTTCACAACACATCATTCATAAAAATCAACCGCTAACAGGATCCATTACATCAAACATGTAGGGTAAATCTCTTTATGTCAAAATAGAAATTTTCATCAAAAGATGAGCTAGATGTACTATCATTAATGCAAAATGTGTTTGCACTTCACAAATGGGCTTCAGTAGCAGGTCCTGGGCTGAAGCCCAGCCGAGACTAAGATAAGTTCACCCGTGTCCCTGGGAACTAAAACTACAGAATAAAACTGAAGGATCCCACTTTTCAATCCTAATGATAGATGAAACAAATATACAGATTTCTTTAATGCTGACTACTTCTTTCGAGATTAGGTTTTTCATGGCGAATGCAAAATAGAAAATACTAAGAGCACCCACAATGCTTTGGGTCTCTTTTTGCATATGCGGCAAATAAATAGACTTGAGTCTATAATGACATGGACAAACTCAAGCTAAAAAATCCAAAATCTATCCAATGCAAAAAAAAAAAAAAAAGTACTAGGTCTAGAATACCTAACAACCAATAAAAATTTAACAATTGTAAATGATTGATATTGTAAGGTTCACTGTCAACTAAGTATCGTAAGTAAATTGCTCCCGATTGTTCAATCAGTTGATAACCAGAGTCGTTTTTTTGATAAATGATCACTATGCTGAGTCAGACTCAATAGAATTTGATCAATCCTTTTTTCTGTACTTAAACTTAAGGTGTTCATTCCGATTTTTATCGTATTTTGATTTTTCCTACTTCTTTTTTTTTTGAATTGAAAACTAAAAAATAAGAATGCTTGGGTCCAAAATAGACCCAAGAATGGACTTGGTCTCTTTTTTTATTGCCACATAAGCTAGACTAGGTCCACTTTTAATTGCATTGTGAACACTTTTTTATAGACTAGGTCTATTTCCTACATGGCATGTGATTTTTTTTAAAGAAACTCAAAGCATTGTGGGTGCTCTGAAGTAACTAAAGATTAAAGACAAAATTTAAGATTAGCACACCACACACAACACACACACTCAAAGACAGAAAGGAACAACCAACAACAGGAAACATTCACCTGACGTTGTGCTTCACGCTCTTGTCTTTTCTTTTCCTTCTTCTTTGATGCTTTAGCAGTGTAGTTCCCATCTTCTTCATCCTCACTTCCATCATGAGTCTCTGAGTTCACGATAATTACAACTCACTTTCATCCTATATTTATTTCTTTCTCTCTATTTTCCTTAAAACTCACATTAAACTAGTAAAATTATCTTGCCATGTCTGGATTCTTACTTAAGTTCGATAACGGATCAGTACTGCAGGATATGGTATACTGAAGCTAAACTATGCAATCAAATTATCGAAATTGCAGATAAAATGAATTTCAGTCAGGGTAGAACAAAAGAAAAATCGACTGAGAAATAAAAACCTTCCACATCAGGGGCAGCTGATGATGAGCTGGCGGCTGAAGAAGCTGCAGGTCTTCGACGCATACGGCGCGCATTGCCAGCCCTAACAACTCTTTCCCTTTGTATCTCCTACAAAATCCTCCCCAAACATTAAAGAAAAAACTGTTAGAAGAATGTCAATTTTTTGAAGACAATTACCCAACAAAAGTAACAGTTTCTTAATTATAGAAGATCATAGGCTACAATAATCCCTTTGCATAACTTACAAAACCTAAGATGAGAAAAATAGAAAAGAGACAAGAAAAAATTGATTCATTCCGGTAAATGGCATTCACAACATGAACTTAGAAAAAGAAACTCAAATTTCTGGCCACATTGAAGATCGCATATCGTAATTAGTTCAAATAAACCGCAAAAGCCGATGTTTATGTACCTGCGGCTCTTCGTGGTGTTGGTGATGATGGCGGGAATCAACCAGACGTCTCCATAAATAGAGTGGAACCAAAGAGAATACCAAAATCATCATTATCACTGCCACGAGTATATCCTCCATTTTCCAATCCAAACTCGATTTGCAAATGAATCACAAGCTTTACCGGCGGCAACACTACGTATCTTGCGAAAATTGACGGCAGCTACCGATTTAGGCGCAAATTGTCCTCCAACTCAATCACGATGGCAAAAAGATTACAGATACGCAAAGTTGTCGTTTAATAAGAGTTTAATCCTATAGCAATTACCAAGTTCTGTCTTGTTACATTGATTTAAGTGAAAATTACAAATTTAGTTGGGTAGGTTATAAATTTGTCAAAAAAATTGAAAAAAATGTTCCTCTAATTTTTATTTTTTTTTAATTTCAAGGAACTTTCACTTTTTTATGTTGTAAATAATTATTATTTGTAGACATTACCTAGATATAGGTTTAGTAGGTATGGGCTAGAAGTCCATTAATCGTTACTGATATATAATGTATTCCTCTATATATAGGGTAAAGTGAATTAATAAAGATAATTGATATTTGACGGTTTCTCTCTTTTGTGTATCGTTCAAGTTTTTCTTTCTCTCATGTTCTTGTTCTCTCGCTTTCTCTATGTATGAGACAATATATATTGTAATGTGTTATCAACACGAGTACTTTGTCATCTAAGCGAACGACGACGGCATCAAGATGAACGGGCAATTATGGTAGCAATCGAGAATTGATATATGCCCTAGAATAGAATTATGTCTTTTCTGTCAAGGTAACTTTCAAGATCTATTCAATATCAATAATGATCTATTAGTTCTATCAATTTTAATTATATTCCAATATCTACATAAATATGGATAGATGATTTTTGTATGAGTTTGATTATTGTTGTTGTGTTGTCAAGTATTTGTGAGTTAATTTCAAAAATTTGTTATAAATGGATAATAACTCATTTAGTGATGGGACTATGAGTATAAATGACCTAATAAAATTTTGAACTTCATATGATACGTAAGTTATTTGTTCTGAACTGTTAACTCCAATGTGTTCGGTGATGAAAAATCACGTGAACTGCACTGTATTAATATTTGAAGATTTGTTGTGGATGATTGAATATTATTTTATTACAACTTTTGGATGTGATATTGGCATCTGTGTTTTGTGTTCTCATAAAAAATTGAAGTAAAAAATATACATATGCAATTTTTTTTTATATTTTCAAGTAAGCATGTGCAATGCAGAAAAGTTTTTGTGAACTGCAATATATTCAATTGTAGAAAATATTTACGGAGATATAAGATATGATGTTGCTTTGATATTTTGATATAACATGATGTGTTTGGTTTTTCAGTCCTAGTAAATTTTCTAGATTTATTTGATACCACAAATTTTTTGTATAAAATTATAAATCTAGTATGTATATACAAATCTGAAAGATGACAGATTAGGTGATATATATATAGATATAAAGGCCATTCTATTTACTAAAATTAGTAGCAAGGAAAGTCAAACGACAATTAATGCATTCTATTTCCATCAATTTTTTCAATTGTATTATTATTTTATTGCTAAAAAAACCCGTTTGCATTAATTCATCTTTAATTGATGTTTTTTGCAATAAAATCAGACAGATAGACTTCAAGTAAAAGCATGTCTCATTTCAAATTTAAATTTAAATATTAAAATTTCTTATCATTTTGTTACATTAAAATCCTAAATAAATTGTTTGCCATAAAATCGGACAAAATAATAATTGCATAGAATTCAAGTAAAAACATGTCTCATTTAAAATTTAAATTTTAAAATTCCTTATCATTTTGTTACATTTCCGAATAATTTGTTTCCCATAACATCGGATGGAATTAATAATTGCATAGAATTCAATTATGATTTCGAATTTATATCAAGGATGTTTAATAATTGCATAGAATTTCAAGGATGTTTATTTATTATATAAAAATAAATTCTAAAAAAACATTTGTGTATATTTTGTAAAATATTTGTACAAAATGTTTTACTTTAAATTTATTTACATAATTTAAATTAATTACATTAATAAATAATATGAACATGCATTAAATATTTTAATTACATAAAACAAAAAGAAGAAGAAGACTACATCTATAACTTGTATAAATAATAATAATGACATTATATTACACCCCCTTAATATAATTTCAAAACGTGTTGAGCCTAAATGGCCGACTCCCACGCTTCGGAAGCTTACTTGACAACATTACATGCTTCAGCTTTTGGTTCGGATAAAAATTATTTTTGCTTAATCCGATCACCTCCAACTCCAAAATAAATAGGATTCTTATATGCCGTGTGAAGTGAATAAGATTTCACTCGGGTTCCTTCGACTCGGACGGCCTCCGTACCTGCAAGAACCCAACGCCGGGAGGGGTCCCGGCGTCGGGCCTCCGGCGCTCAAGTCAATATCCCTCCAAATCCCAAGAGTATGGTCATGAATGTAGAGAGAGAATGAGAGAATGGGATACCTTAGCCCCCTTTTATAGTGGAATGTACCTTATGGCCCAAATTGGGCTTGTCCAATAGCATCATGTCACGTGTCCTAGCCATGTGTAGGCTTATTCTTCAATATATCTCCTTTTTATCCATTAAGACTGGTCCAGTATATAATATCCTATATCACCGTGGAAATAGGATTACTATCCATATTGAACCACAAAAATTATACTGGTTAAGAATCATATGCCAATATTATAATATATTTTAAGAATCCTATACCAATATTATAATATATTTTGGATTATAATATATTTTTACTATCCATATTGATTAATATTATTTTATTTTTTTAATAAATACTACAATAACTATATTCATAATCTTGATTGTCTAGAATGTCAATGTTATATTATTTTTTTAATAAATTTACCCTACATATAAAATATAACTACAACAACTTGGTTTATTATGTATAAAAAAATTTGATTTATAATGTATAAAAAATCCTGATTTATACAAATTCAATGATTATTAAGACAATTATAAAATATTTCAACATTATTCACAAAAATATTATCAAAAAAAGTTATCTATAAAATTAGAATGTTATAAAAAGGATGGTGAAAATTTCAAACATGTTAATAAATTCAATTTTAACATCCATGAAAATATTTTTACCATGTTTTCAAAATATTTATACAAATATTTTAAAATAATTTATATATAGAAAAGTAAGACTTTTTATTGAACTGTAACAACTATTCATGAATATTTATTTGCACGAATATTGCTAGGTCGATGCAATTTTTCATGAATAGTGTATATTTTTAATGTGCACGAATTTATATTTTTAAATATTTATTTTGATTTTGTATTCATACAAATTATTGATTTATATTAATTTTATACCTTCACACTAAACTTATGCGTGCGTGCCATTTATCTGATTATTATAAATTTCATAAATATAATAATTGCAGCTTATAAAGTGCACGGGTAAGAGATATTCATCCCCCCTTAATATAATTTCAAATTGTGTTGAGCCTAAATGACTGGCTCGCACGCTTCGAAAGCTTACATAGAAATAAATTATATTTATCTTTATAACAATAATAATTTTGTTAATATTAATTAGAAATATAAAGTTATTTATTAATTAATATATTTATAAACAAAAGGTAATTCATTAGAAACATCTTTTTTTTATTATTAATAAAAGGCTCGAGCTGTTATGTTAAATATGTATTGAAAAGAGTGGTTTCATGGATTAAACAGTAAGACATCTCTTTAAAAGTGGGATCATATACAATCTTGTCGATAACAAGCTGTTTAAATATTTATAATAAATTAATATATTTATTGACTTTAAATCCACATTGTTCTTGCATCTTGTAGGTATTCAAATAATGGATAAAGAAAATGCAAAACTTATTAAACACATTAGAATGGCGAAAATGAAAGAAAAGCGTGGACTATCTCCTGCAGGCATTGAAACTATTGTTTCGGTGAGTATATTTTATGGGACTTACTTTTAAATTTTGTATTATATATAATAACTGCAGCTTATAAAATGCACGGGTAGGAGATATTCATCCCCCATTAATATATTTCAAAACGTGTTGAGCCTAAATGGCTGGCTCGCACGCTTCGGAAGCTTACTTAGAAATAAATTATACTTATCTTTATAACAATAATAAGTTTTTTTAATATTAATTAAAAAAATAAAATTATTTATCAATTAATATATTTATAAACAAAAGATAATTCATTACAAACATCTTTTTTTATTATTATTAATAAAGGGCTCGAGCTGTTATGTTAAATATGTATTGAAAATAGTGGTTTTGGGGGTTAAACCATACGACCTCTCTTTAAAAGTGAGATCATATACAATCTTGTCGATAACAAGTTGTTTAAATATTTATAATAAATTATTATATTTATTGACTTTAAATCCACCTTGTTCTTGCATCTTGTAGGTATTCAAATAATGGATAAAGAAAATGCAACACTTATTAGACACATTAGAATGGCGAAAATGAAATAAAAGCGTGGACTATCTTCTGCAGGCATTGAAACTATTGTTTCGGGTGAGTATATTTTATGGGACTTACTTTTAAATTTTGTATTATATATAATATATGCAACTTACATAATAATAAATTAATTATTAGATTAAAGGATAATATTTTATTTATGTAAAATGCAAACAGTATATATTTCTTTGATTTTTTTTTTATATATTCGATGTTAGACACTCCATCCAGTCAAGCAAGAAAATTCAGAAAGTCCTTTATAGATGCAAGGCGACAAAACGGCATTCAGTGTACACAACTGATTTTTTTAATGCAATAAAATGCTCTGGAGTTCCTAATCAAATCTTAAAATTGAAAGTTGGTATTCATGTAATGCTGCTTCGAAACATGGATCAATCTTCTGGGTTGTGTAATGGCACCAGGTGAGTGATCACTCGACCATTCTTTTATATTTTTTGGTATTTATATATTCCTAAATCTTAACTAATTTATTATCTATCCTTATTGTAATGTTTTTACTTTTTAATTAGAAAGAAAATTTGATAACTTCAATAAATAATCATTATTTATTTTATGGGTTGTTGTAATGACACCAGGTTAGTCATCACTCAACTTGGAGATCGCATTGTTGAGGCTAATGTTCTATCGGGAAGGAATATTGGGAGCAAAGTACTTATTCGGCGGATGTTATTGACTCCTTCTGATGTGAGATTGTCTTTCAAGTTTCAAAGAAGACAATTCCCGCTTATGGTTTGTTTTGCAAGGACTATTA